GTTCCTTCCTTCATAATCTGAAAAAAAAATAAAAGTGGACTGTTCACTGTAATATATATATATATATATATATATTTAATCCCATTGAGACTACCTGCCATCTTTTTTTTCTTTTTTTTTCCCTTTGGTTCTGCCCTTTGACACGGTCTGCACCACCGGTCAAGCTTTCAGACAGCGTGACAGCTGAACCGTTGGCAGGTGGAGGAAAACGCTCTAAAGTACACTAAATATCCAAATATCGAAAGTAACAACTGGCAACTGATACTCACAAAAAGAAGAAATTGTGATATGTAGCAATCTGGAGAAAGAAGGTCGTATGTCCTGATTTACATTTGATGAAAAATGGCATGCTTATTGATACTCGTCTCAATATTCGATGGGGGAAAAAAAAGTCTTTATTGGAATCAACATGTTCTAATTGATGACCAGCTTTTTGCCTGTCTTCCACTGATATCTTTATAATTTATCCTCATACTCTCTCATATTCATGTCAGAACTTTGACTGGACCACTCCTGTAATTCCCCCAGACACAAGGAACATGCTGGTCGAATTAAAATGTCACTTTAAACCAAATGCAATTTTAGATTCAACTCAGTGTTTGATGAGACAGAACTCCACCTTACCAGGATTTAATTCTGTAATTTGTTCACAAAATACTGGCATGAAAGTAAACAATCAAATTCGACTCTGCTTGCAATGCCATTTGTGACGTTATTTACATTTTGAAAACCGCTTTCGAAATCTGCATCTACGCAGACTGTGGGATGCGTCTTCTCTCGCCAAAAACTCTTGTGTCTGTGGACGAGAGGTGCAGAAAATCTCAGCTTTGCAGCAGCTCGGTGGGCGCCTGGTGGGCCTGTGTGTTTGGTCGCATAATTCAAACATTTCTAATAAGTGGAGCAGCAAGACAATGTTCCAGCAACATACGCTTCTCAAACAAATCAGTCCAATCGATCTATTCTGCCACAATGCTGCAATATATATATACTTGTGTCTCTATCAAAATATGCATGCGCTTAATTTTTAATTCTAAATAACTTAAAAGACTGTTACCCTTTTAGAGCTTATCTAAGCGTGCGTCATTGCTAAATGTGAATCGCTTCTCCCTGGGCTGAAACGCAGCCGTTCCTTACGACTCCTCCTCAACATACAGAAAGAAATGCATTTCATCTCAGCCGCGTTTCCAACCAGCGCAATTACATCCCGCTCAAGCTGCAGCAGCGAGCTTCATTGTGTGTGTGTCGTTGGGTGTTCTGCTGAAGCGCCCCTCTGCTTCATAATGCTTTAAGTGGCCCATTTAAACATCATCTGGCGACCAGGTGGTAAAAATATCTGCAGGAACTCGTGGAGACAGAGCAACTGGAGTTAAGCAGCCTGGAGCTGCAGGATTTATTGGGTCTGTGATGAATCTTCTTGGGTTTGATTTGAAGCAATCTCCAGCTACATGCTTGATTTCTCGAGCGTACGGCGAACACAGTTTTATGAAAACTGCCCAACAGTAGATGAGTCTTGCTTGGTCAGAGAGACCAAACCAGGTTGACAAAATAGATACGCTCTTACATAAACTGCTGAAATTTGAAGGGACAGTAACTGTGTTGACTTCAGTTAACATTATGATTCAGCTTCTTGAATTTGGTTCTCTGTCTCTTTAAAACCTCCTGCTCTCTCTGGCAACCTGTCTTCAGAAGGTCACAGAACACCGCTTCTCTGTTACACTTTTAACAATGTTTTGACAAGACGTAGCTCATACTGTGAGATCAGCTGATGCGCAACTTAACCAGTTGTTTGCTAATTGCTGCCGGCTAGTCTGAAGGAGCCGAGCCTAGGAATCGTGGGGAGGGCTGCTCTGTGAGGCGCAAGCTTGGAAACTATTTTGATTGGAACTAATTTTTTTTTTCCAACAGTATTTGTATTGATTTTTTAAACATTTTTTCTAATATACAAAACTTAAATGTGCTCTCACGTCAAAAAACATCCAGAATAATGACATTTATTTTTTTCCAACACCCAACTTGTCATTCTTCATAAACCAGGTTGGAACATTTAAGAGCAACTCTTATTGCATAGCCGTTAAACGAAAAAACAAACAAAGAAAAAAAATTTCATGCTCCCGATCCTAAACCCCCGAGGAATAAGAAGCAATTACAATAATAATGGTTTCCCTATTTCCCAAGGATTAGCCCATATATTTAAGCATGATATGTGATTCAAATATACAATCCTTAGTAATCAAGTAAACTAATGAAGATTATCTTGGAGCAGGGGACCAACCAGCCACAACTATAATTCACCCCACATCCATGTTTTCTATATATTCCAAAACAGGACCCCAAATGTCTTGAAATAACAAGAGTTTCCCTTCTATTAAAAAAAAAAAAGTAATCTTTTCCATCGGTAATGTTGTGGATAATTCTTGGAAGTAATTTATTTTAATGCTTTGAAATGTTGCTACTTTTCATTTTCAGCTCTCGAAGAAGAATATGCAGTAAATTCCCTGTCAACGTTCAGCCAAGCTGCAGCTCATTTCTCAAGGAGTCTGCCTCCGACGGCGCTTCACCTGTTACAGCCTCTCAGGATGCTTGCTGTGAAAGCTTTACTAACTCTGCTGAGTGCTAGAGTGCGTCTGAGGAGCTAAACTACAGTGATGGACTGTGACATTTATTTAAGTCGCCTGAAGAGATTCTAAACAAGCCAGAGAATATAGTGGGGTGTCGTTTCACTGCCTTCTCGCAAAGAGGCAGTAAAAAGCATTTGCATCGGTTCACTCCGAGCAACACCTTCTGTTCACCGAAGCTAAAGGCGCATACATCACCATCTGCTCCCACCTACAAGCACAACGAGCCAGCTTCACTGCAGCAATTTAGTTTTTCCGATAAATTGACATTTTGCTGAGATGAGGAGAGACCTTTTGTTTTGCTTAGTTTTCTCCAAGAGCATTTCGGTGCAGACGAGCGTTTGCAGTTACCTGCTCCTCTCAACGGCGTGTTGACGTGCCGAAGAGACGCATCACCACAGGTGACGGTACAAGCCTTTCCTCCTCGTCTCCGCAGGAGCACGTCTCTCCTCCGCCACTCCCCGTCCTCAAGCTCGCAGTCTAATCTCTTTTATTTCCCCTCCAAGGTTTGACACAATCATCCCTCCAAGCCTGCCCCTCATAATCATAACAGGCAATCATGCGCCTATAAAACTAAATGAACGCCGCCGAAATGATGGCAATATCGCTCGTGTCGCCGGCGCTGCAGCTTGGTATTTTCCAGGCGAGATCAAGTGGACGGTTAAAGACGCACGCCTTGACGAAATGTGATGACCTCTTTAGATCCATAAAGAGCCATTACTGACACATTATTCTTAGGCATGTTGACATTCTGACATTGGGAATCAGTTTAAAATGTCTGTTTATTGTAGTAAACGCAGCAGGGATATCACTTCTCTTGAGGTTTGTTTTATTTTTTCTGTAGTTTCATGGTTCCAAGTTTTATAGTATTTGTTGATGATAATCTTTGTTTTAGTTTTCCAACCTCTTTTAATGACTTTATTTTCTGGAAATTCTACAAAAGAAAAGAAAAAGCAACAACGCTCCCTTGTCTTCCTTCCTCAAGTGTTTCCTGCACTGGTATTTCACTTTCTTTCAACGAGATTAGAGCCCTATTTCACATATTTCCCAATTTTCTCATGAAAAAAAAAGCTGGTCAGAATATCAACAAATACCATATAATAAAAGAAAAATAAACTCTTCTCAATCATCTTCACACCCTTGTTCCTCCCAGGTAGGTTTTGAAAGAGGAGTTGATTTCATCTTTGCTTTCTGCAGGGTTTTGTCCTTTTGTGCTAATGTGGAAGCATCAAACTTTACACAATTGATTTGTGGGGGCAAATCTAGGAACCCCAACCACCTGCAACGTGTACGAGACTCCCTTCAAAAATGGCTAAATCTGCCTTCTTTAATTGTTCAAAGGCCAAATATACTCAAAGCTCAGTGGGAACTGTCCTTCCACGACCACACAAGCTAATATCGAGTGTTTCTTGTTTCCGCTCTTGGTGGCACGGCCAACCGGCACCGAGGGAAATGAACGGCCATTTTATTTTGATTCGTCTTCTCACTCTCTGACCTGTAGTAGAAATCTCAGATCAATTTAATCTTCTCTTATCAACTCATTTGGCTGAATATTTGACTCATTTCATAATCAATTCGACTGTTTCCATCACCAGGTGTCCGTGTTTGGATTTAAACGCCAAATCACAACTTAGGATCTTACTAATGTACAACTTTCTTGCAACCATTTTATTTGTTTATTTTTTTTTCTGTCGCATTTAACGCACGTTTGTTGTTTTACCTCTGCTGCTTTTAGTAAACGAACCTGTTTAGTCAGTGAGGCAATGATCTCAAGTGATTATTGGATTATGTTCTACATTAAAAGGTTGAGTTCCCTTTTCCGTTTTCTTTGATCTATTTTTCTGCAAGAAAAAAGACATGGAAACAAAACATGTTTAGTCAGCTGTTTTATAGTCTTGAAAGTGAATCCACTAATTGTGTGATAGTCATCAACCTTTTTAATCCTTTACCTGAAAACAACAAAGAGAGAAAGAAACCAATCAATAATCACTGATGGATTTAATGGAGTTTTGGGATCCAGATAACACAAAACGTTATAGGAACTGTGGAGTGGTGAATTTGACATGATTTCAACTGCATCACGTTTTTGTTTTATTTCGTTTCGCTGCACATCTGGTCAGCTTGAGTCCTTTTAGTTTTGGAGAGTTTGGCCAGTGGTCTATTCAAGGACGAGATTGAGACTTTGTGTTTTCTCTGTTGCCATATTTAACCCTCCAGACTGAAACGTCCGTCACCCCACCACCCACAGCAGACACAAATCAACATCTGGGGGCTCAAAACAACAACAAACCCCCACCAAATTGGTGTATGTCCACCCAACTTCCCTTCCTGGTCCACATCTACCGTGAGCGCATGATTGTGTGGATGTTTGGAGTCAAATTGAACGTTCATTCATCCCGGACTCCTGATGCGCAGTCAGGAGGACCAGCCGTGCGTGTGGCGCCGCTGGTGAACGTCTCCTCCCCCTGTTTCTGCAGTGTTACAGCTCTCGCTTCCCCGCTCGTCGCTTCCCATGCCAACGCTGCCCACGCCGCAAGAGTGAGGCGAGCCTCCCTTCCCTCCTGCACAGCAGCCTCCAGCTCCGCTCCCCGCCTGCCTCCATCCCTCCGCTCGATGTCCGTCTTTGTCCTGATCCCTGCGCGCCGCGCCGTTTCTCGTCCTCTCGATCCGACGCCGTCCGTCCACTTTCATGTGCGGGTCCTTGTTATTTTTATTTATTTTCTTCTTCTTCTTCTTTGCAGCTTAGACAGAAGAGCGAATGAATTTTTTTCTTTCTCCCTTTCTTAAACTGGAGAATCTGGTGAAATGTTGACTGGCTGAAGCTGAGGGAAGGAGGACAGAACCAGCAATTGAATTTATTATTTTTACGCATCAACAATCGCGCGCGGTGCAAAGATGAGAAAGCTGATTTTCTTCTTCTTCTTCTTCTTTTTCTTCTTCTATATGTCAGAAATTAAATAATAACCAGAACAAGAAAATAGCTTTGGTGGAAGGAGATTCAAGAAGCGATCGGAAGTGATCGGACTGCCTTAAGTTTTTTTTTTTTTTGCCGAGGCAGGGCAACTGTCAGGGAAAAAAGCGTCGAGGGAAAGAAGGAAGGAAGGAAGGAAACGGAGCGGGAAGCTAGGCAGCATTTCCAAGACGCCAGCGCGGCCAGCCAGGAGCATCACGCCGGTCCGCTGCGTGGATGGTGCGCAGGCTGCCTCTGCGCGCTCGGGCGGTGCAGGGCGGCCACGGTGAGACCGCGGGATCCAGTCGGGCTTCCGGGCTTTATTTTTTCTTTGTGAGTATCGGACCTGATTGGATTATCGGCCATCCCCCCCATCTCCTTTGTAGTTTGGCTTTTTTTTTTTTAACGCGACTGCGAGTTTTATTATTATTATCAATGTTGTTATTTGTGTTGTTTTTTTTTTCTTTTCCCAACTGGCATTTGTTTGTTGATTAAAAAAAAAAAGCTCATTAAAACTCTGCACTGATGTGGATCTCTCCCTTGCACTTGTCATTTTTTTGTGCAACGCTCCTCACAGTTTGTTAGTGACGGATGAATTGTGTCTCCACAGAGCAACATGAGGGAGAAGTTCATCTCCTGAGGCTACAACTTCTGCACCGGGCTGACTCACTGACAACTGCGTTCAGGTGAGTAATGTGGTAATAAAATGCAATATAATGCAAGGAATAAAGCAAGTCCCATGCCTCTAAGAAAAAAAAAACCCCAAAAGGTATTAAATCCATCTCTCTGTTTTTTTCGGTGATGTAACCTGACGCTGGAAATTTCGTGTTAAGCCATAATTGTCGGTGTATGTAAAAGCCAAAGTGCTGTCGGTGTTTGCTACAACCACTTTCTGCCAATAGAAGAGAACTTGGTAACACTTTAGATGGTCGGAGCACACAGAGAGAAGGACCTTTGACCTTTAGTCTCAGACAGGCCCTCTAACTCGTCCACTTCGTCCTTTTTCTTCAGCTCACTCAACAGATATTCTGTATTGGAGGCTCGGTGCCGATAAAATTTATTCTCCCCCTCGAATGTTTTTAGCCTTTTTGCTGCTTTTGCAAATCGGTCAGAGTGAACAAAAGTGATTGCTGTAATTTAACAGAGGTTCACCCAATTGGTGCTGAGTGGATGGAGACTTCCTGAATGCTGAATGCAGTGATGGTCGTATAAAGACGCCCGAGTCTGGAAGATCCACTCACTGGCTGCTGTTACAGTACGAAGACTAACGAACGCTCCCAGCAAAGCAGACTTAAAGTTATTGACTGGTGTGAATCTGGGGATGGATACCAAAAATCCTTACGGCACCAAATGTCTGAATATGTGGCAAAATCTGGTTCAAACAAAAAGATCTGGCAGCTAACCAGCTGTTCTGATGAATTTATAGTCTATTTTTTCTTCTTCTTCTTTACAACAATGTCATCTTTTTCTAAAATCTTATTTGGCTTCTTCATTGCTTATCTGTTTGTACATGGACATATTTTAGTGGTTCCTTTTATTTTTAATGACCCACTAAGTGCATCTAATTTCCTCATTGGTATCTTGTAATATTGCAAGTCGATCAGGAGATTCTTTGCTATTTAAAGGTGCAACATTTTGCTAATTGATTGGGATGAGGCTCAAATGATACACAAGCTCCAGAAAAACGAGTCGCACAAAACGCATCCCCTCCTGGTTTGGGACAGGAAGTTGTTTTCTGGGATTCTTCCTCCCAAGCAACCAGGTGGCGCGTAAAAAGTCACCTGGCGATCGCCGCAGAGACCTTCTGACCCCACGCTGCCTTCTTTCTTGCTCACAGTGAGTTCCAACATGTCGCAAGATAAACTTGAGGAAGAACTGTGAAACTACGTTTTGCGTAACTTTACCAGGGGCGCCAGCGAAGGTTTTCTTCAGTTTGTCAAAGCTCCTTTGTTTTCCTTCGTCTGGATGATTTTCCTTCGTGGCATTTGTGAGCACTCTCGATTCTTACCGTGACTCTGTGTGTGCGCACTTCCACAGACAGACTCAAAACAAGAGCAAGCAGGCATCAAAATGACTCATTATGCGCAAAAGTGTTTATTTGCTGACCTTTGAACCTCTGCTTGGCAGAAAGAAGAATGTCGGAGGATTAAACTCGGTCTGTGCTACTTCATTTTATTGTTGTAAAAGCTGAAATGAGTATTTTTATTTTTTTTAAATGAAATCTTAATGATGAATACTTTTTTTTAAAAAAAGTCAATTTTATAACCCCTAAAGTTTACTCTGGTAATATATCTTGCTCTAAGTCTCTGCCGTGTTTTCCTGTTTTTACATTTTTCTTGTTTCCACTTAGGTTTTATTTCTGATACAGTCGAATGTCCTGCAGCTCTGTGGGACAACGAAGGAACCGCACACACTCTGCGGTTTGATACCGTACTCAAAAGAAGCCTTTGGATTTCAAGCTTTTCCACTACCAGTTGGAAAGCTTGCCTTTGCCATAGAAACGTCACCCACTCACACATTTGTGCAGGCTTGTGTGCCAGATGAAAAGGACTGCGTTTCATTTTGTGCATCTGCAGCCGAGCAGGGTGAATTTTCGACGTGCTCCGTTGCCGTCCGTGGCGCCGAACCCTGCTGGCATTTGACTCACTTGGGATGAGCATACAGGTGTTGTTAAGCCGTTACACTGAGATGCACAAATACTGTCGGCTTGTTATTTCCCTTATCAGCTGCAGTTAAAAATAAATTGAAAAAAAATTCCAGCTTCATTTGTGCATCTGTGTTTTTCTGCTCTCCCCCACACCCCGTGAAATGAAATCTCGACGGGGAAACGTGCTCTCCTGTTAGGCAGGTCAGAGTGCAGGATGCAGCTCTGCTCTGCTGCATGCCAATGAGAGCCTGTGCTGTACGTACAGCGACGTGAATCTCCCCCTGCTGCTGATGGGGGAAACCTATTTTGGGATGGAGGTGGTCTTAAATTTTTGATTAGGAGGCACCGGTTAAATAAATTGACACTTCTTGGGCTGTTTCTCGCCGCTCACGTCGCTGCAGATGTTAATTCCCCGGGCGGCGTCGGCGCTGCTGCCTGGATTGTTCACTCAAAGCTGTTAAAATCCCGCTGACAAGAAAGCCACTGTAGGATTATTTGAAGGTCTTCCCCTGATATTGGTTATGTAAAACGCAAAACTAGAGGTGTTTACTACACTTTAGCATTAAGCAGTCTTTCCCATGCAGCTTTCATGAGCCACCGGGAGTGTTTTTCTTTTAAATAATAATGTAGAAAAGCTTTCCCAGAGACCAGAGCTCTTTTCCTGCTTTCTCTTAATACCAGGGAAGATTATTTCTGGATCTTCATCTGACTACAGCATACGCAGGGCACTTAGTCACTTTTCCCCTCTGTGCTACAGGTGCAGAGTGCAACATTTTTGCAGTTTCTCTGCACACAATGGACAATTATGTGTGTAGGAGTCTAACTGGATTGTTCAATACCTGTGAGTCAACCAAAAGTAGACGCCAGAGGCTTGGACCGAACAAACCGTTGGATCCCCACATAAATTTTTATGTAAAAGTGCAGAGCTCTGATTGCTTCTGCCGACTTTTTTCTTCATTTTAGGAAGACAACTAGAAAGAATTGAACATGATTAATGCCTTTTATTTGCCTGCAACTTCATCCACATTTTGCTACAAACTTCAAAATATTGTGGTGTTTTGATTTCACCCGACAGGCCGATGCACAGAAATCAAGGAAAAATATTCTTCGTTTTCTTTTTTTTTTTTTTCCCCAGAACCGCACAGCATTCTGGGGGATGTAGGCAGAGGAAAGGCTTCAGATGCTCAAACTCTCACATTTGAGTGAGTTAGTTGGTGGCATCAACTAACCGACTTAGCTGATGCCACCTTGTTGCCTAGCAACAAGTCGTTGCGTAAGTTGCACAGCAGCAGTTTCAGGTTTCAGCCTCGAAACGTGTTTAAAGATAAAAAACAACATGGAGCGAAGACTTTGGATTAAACAGGAAAGGTCATGTGACCTCAGCAGCAGTAATTTCAGATATTTAAAACAAACTAATCAGTAATCATCCATCTCAACTGAAATGAGATGCTCATGTCGTGAAGCGTTTTTCAGCCATGTCGTCCGGTCCTACATTCAAAGTATAAAAACTTTTGTAAGGCACTGGATCTAGAATACTCCTGAAGTATTAAATCTTTGCTTTCTGTTCTCTTGCAGAGGAACCTTCCACAAACCCTCAAATGTGCCACAATTTGATCTCTGGCATTAGAAGACTCCAGATCTGATCATGACTTCAGATAAATGCACCATGAGCTTACCACGATCCACCACCCCGTGGATGTTCATCACCTTCTTGCTGGTTCTTCAGCCAGGGGTCACTCATTTCTCCCACGGCAGCTCTGGCTATGAAGACACTGGCGACGTCCCGAAGAATTGCTCCAGTGAGGACAACTGCTCAGAGGGCGTGGTGCTGCCCATGTGGAACCCCCAGAACCCCGCGGTTGGTGACAAGGTGGCTCGCGCCATTGTTTACTTTGCGGCTCTCATATACATGTTCCTGGGTATGTCCATCATCGCGGATCGTTTCATGTCTTCCATCGAGGTCATCACCTCTCAGGAAAAAGAGATCACCATCAAAAAGCCCAACGGCGAAACGACAACGACCACCGTGCGCATCTGGAACGAGACGGTGTCCAACCTGACCTTGATGGCTCTCGGCTCCTCAGCGCCAGAGATCCTGCTGTCCGTCATCGAAGTGGTCGGCCACAACTTTGAAGCTGGAGCTCTCGGGCCCAGCACCATCGTGGGCAGCGCCGCGTTCAACATGTTTATCATTATCGCCATTTGTGTCTACGTGGTGCCAGAAGGCGAGACCCGCAAGATAAAGCACTTGAGGGTGTTTTTTGTCACCGCCGCCTGGAGCGTGTTTGCCTACATCTGGCTGTACCTGATCTTGTCTGTCTTCTCCCCCGGAGAGGTGGAGGTCTGGGAGGCAGTCCTCACCTTCCTCTTCTTCCCTCTCTGCGTGCTGCAAGCCTGGATCGCAGACCGACGCCTGCTCTTCTACAAGTACGTCAACAAGCGATACCGCGCCGACAAGAACCGTGGCATCATCATCGAGTCCGAAGGTGACGCCATGTTCACCAAGATGGACTTGGAAATGGACGGGCAGGGCGCGAACTCCCACCCTCACAATAAGGAGGCTCTGGATGGGATGCTGGAGGGGGTGGAGGAATACGGAGGGATGAGCGCAGAGCAAGACCAACAGGAAGAGGCTCGCCGGGAGATGGCACGCACCTTGAAGGACCTAAAACAGAGGCATCCAGACAAAGACATGGAGCAGCTGATTGAGATGGCCAACTACCAAGTGCTGGTGCAGCAGCAGAAGAGCCGGGCCTTCTATCGCATCCAAGCCACGCGCATGATGATCGGAGCCGGGAACATTCTGAAGAAGCACGCGGCTGACCAGGCCAGGAAAGTGGTGAGCTGTCATGAGGCCAGCGGGCAGGAAGAAGATCCCAACACCATCTACCTGCAGTTCGACCCCTCGCACTACCAATGCTTTGAGAACTGCGGGTCCTTGAAGCTGACGGTGAGCCGCCATGGAGGAGAGGCTGGCTGCACAGTTAAGGTGAGAGCTAAAACCCAGCGACCTTGAACTTGTCATGAGCTCAATGATGATCTTGTTCCTGGTATTGAGAAAGTACAAGTTGTTCTCACCATGTACAGCACTTTGAACTGCCTTGTTGCTCATATATGAGGCATAAATAAACTTGACTTGACATGACAGGTGAACTGGAATCCTTTGCAGTCACAATTCTTGAATATTTATTTGCAAAGCATAATAAAATAAAGCTATATGTATATACTTTCACTTAGGCTTCTAATTCTAATAAAATACTATGTAAGGGTCAAACATATGAAAACTGTTGCCAGTAAATGTGAAAATCTTCTAAAGCCCCAGTGTGAAATAAAAACCAACTCAAACTACTTAAGCTATGAAATATTAACCAGTCAGCAATTTGCTAAAGCTCCACTCTCTAAATATTTAATGAAGTCTCCTCACCCGTGGCACACAGGTGGACTACCGGACGGAGGATGCGACAGCCACTGCAGGCTCAGACTACGAGTTTGCCGAGGGAACGTTGGTCTTCAAGCCCGGCGAGACGACTAAAGACTTCACCGTCGGAGTCATAGACGACGACATCTTCGAGGAGGACGAGCACTTCTACGTGCGCCTCAGCAACCCCCGCATCGTCCACCAGGCCGAGGTCTCCGTCCTGGAGCCCAACTCCATCACGTCCAGCAACAGCACGGTCGGCATCTCCTCACACGTTCCTCCCAAGGCGGCCTTGGGGAACGCCTCCGTCGCCACCGTCACCATCTACGACGACGACCACGCCGGCATCTTCACGTTCGAGAGCAACTCCACCCGGGTGAGCGAGAGCGTCGGCAACATGCAGGTGAAGGTGCACAGGACGTCCGGCGCCAGGGGGAAGGTGGCCGTGCCTTACCACACCGTCGAGGGCACCGCCAAAGCGGGGGAGGACTACGACGAGGTTTCCGGCAAGCTGGAGTTCCAGAACGACGAAACCATGTAAGCACTAATTTCTTTGCTTTCTTTAAAAACGCCGTTGCTCCACATCACTTGATTAAACATCACAGCCCACACATTGGTTATGCTAAACAGTCCCTCCAATAGTATTGTACACGGCCTATTCTGGTAACGGACGCAGGGGCTATTTTTATGAGTCACAGATACCTTCGCTTGGAGAAATTTAGATCTTTAAGGGGGGAAGAGGTGGGAGGATGAGAGGATATAATTGAGCCGCAGATAATGACACATTGTGGCAGATGTAAGAGAAGAAGAAGGGGAGTTAGAGGCACAGGAACAGCGCTCTGTGAATGAATAGAGAGAATTAAAAACATAGGCCCGTTGGGCTTTGCGCTGAGCGTCTGATGTTTTGTTGTGGTGCCACACTGCAGATCCCCTGCAGAAAACAAAGGGGAGAGCATGTGAGCGACAGAGTAGCGGGGACAAAAACCAAGAAAAGCAAGGAAGGGCCAGAGGAAGCCTCACAAACAGGTGTGTGAGACGCAAACCTGTGTGATTCCTCTAAAATCAGGACTCAGAGACAGATAAAAAGGATTGCACAGGCCCAAAGATACAACTTAAATCAATTTACTGACCTTTTTTCCCCTCACTGATATCAACTACAGCTAAACGTTTGCTATTTCGAAAAAACTAGGCCAGAGAGGTGTTGTTTGAGCTTTCTTCAGATTCAAAGGTTTACGTATAATTCATTTGCATTTGGTAGATATAACATTGAAACTGCACGATTAAGGTCAAATACTTTGAATCTCCTTCCACGAGTTCCTCATGGTCGTCTGCTAGACATTTAGCTTAATCTGTTTTTTTTTCCAGCTACAAACTCCACCTTTAGAAAATCAGACCTCCAGCAAATTCCTGGCTGTTTCCTGTTTTTCACAATAATGAGGACATTTGCAAACGGTAATCTCTACCTGCTGCTAGTGGCTTCCTCCGTAATGAGTGGCATTCAGTGTGGGACTCATTTAATGTAAATAGTAACACTTCCCTTCCAGCTGCAGCAGTCGTGCCAAATTTCATCAGATTTTTATGTCATTTTTGGGAGATACGGGTCATAATTCTGCACCATAAAAAGCCAGATGTGGAAATCAGGGTGTAAACGATGGCTGAAAATTGCAATTATGAGCTTGAGGAAGAAGTCTGTGACACTGCAGCGCATCACACACATCGCAGTTGTGGTCAGTGCTCCACAAAAGGTCATCGCTATTGGCTGCACTTTATTTTTATTAGCTTCCCTCCCGTCGTTCTGATTTTGAGACGACGCTGTCGGCTCTCGTTGCCGAATAAACTCTACAGATGGATCCATAAACAACTCCACCCGTTACAACTTGCGTGAGCAGCGCTCTGCTGTGTGACATCAACATTCTCCTTCTGTGCATGTGGGTCGCTTTGGGGACACGGACCATCCACACAGGAGTCTCACTGCAGTTGGTATTATTATTAGTAACAACAACAAAAAAAGGAAGCCCTTCAGTATGAAATCAGCCTTAATGTTTGTGAAATTGATGATTTCAAGAAAGTAAAAGAAAAAAAAAATCTTTCATTTTGCTGAGATTTTGAAATAAAAACAATTTCATACCAACAGTAAACCCCGTAGGTACTCTTTCTCTCCTGTATGTATCTGGTGTTAATAGCAACTACATGTAGGTTGCATTTGCTTCATGACTTCACGAGCAGAAGTATCTCTTTCTCTCTCTGGTTATTTTTTCCCCTCATTTTAGAGACTAACAAAACCCTCGCCGTGTCAAGCTCATCACAGAACAAGTAACAGCTCAAAAGGAAAGAATGGAGCGCGTCTGCGCGAGCAGAGTTTCAGGGGCCGCGTGTAGGCGGATGGTGTGGGCCGGCTCGAGTGGGAGAGGGAAGGCAGGTGAATACGCGGTGTCAGAGAGAACCGAGAGCTCACCTAGTTCTCTACTTTGCCTCGCAGTAGTGCAGGGGAGATGCGAACAGATTGCTCTGTACGTTTTGGCTGTTTGCTTCTGTCTTGATCGCAGCCTTTGCAATCAAGGCCGCGCTTGTGCGTGTGCTGATTCCACTTCTTTAAACCTCGAACATCAAACGAAACGCCACTCCGAAGGCGAATTAAAGGGAACTTCTTTAGCATCCGAGGCAATTAAAGCGGCTGGACGAGGGGTCAAGAGAGTCCCAAAAGTTCTGAGAGTTGCAGATAATGAGTCAGGAGTGTATGACAATGAGGGATTAGAGTCAGGCAGCGTGTGTCTGCAATCAAACAGGAAGCTGTGGATAAAATCCTCAACTACTGAGCAAAGATGATGGGGCTGCAGAGACTCAAGCGTCTGCCTAATTTATGCTGGAGTCATGCTTCTTTCAGATGTCGATAGAGAGCGAGATCCGGCAGGGAAGGACAGTTTGCCACAAGAAGTTCATGAGAAGAATACAAGTTGCAGATGTAAGAGAAAAAAAATGGCGAAGCCACACTGAGATGTTCCAGTGCTCCTCGGATTAAAAAGGCGACGTGAAGGAAAGGAAGGCGCTTTGATCATGAGTGGAAATCTTTGATTAAAGATCCCCGATCTCGAGAGGCACATCGAGTAAAGTCCCTCCTCCTCCCCATCACCACCACCAACTGACGCTGAGTTAATTTTCAAATCCTATTTCTATGAAAAGCCTTCATCTCTGCTCGCCACCTGAGGCTGTTTATGGCTCCTTCATGCTGAACATCAAGGTGCAGGCTTGTGATTAGGCAAGAGCTTAAGTCAGAGTCCGCATGGTGTCCGTTTCCACTTCGGAAAATAGCAAACAAATCAAAAACTTAGAAAGTACAGCTGCAGGATTTAACACAATGAAACCCTTTTTGAAAATGTTCACACACTTTGAATTTCTCCACATTTTGCTGCATAACCACCACAAATTTTGACATATTTTGTTGAGATTTCATGGCTCTGTGCAGACCTACATCTGACAGGTCTGTAGCAAGTCTTGCTAACTGATTTTTATTTAATTTTTTTCACAGAAGCTCTGTCTTGTGAAAAAGAACGTAGGGGAACGTTAGGTGTGTGCAAAGGTTTTCAAAGGGTTCGTGCTGTAGCACATAGGATCTTATTGATAAAACTTCCTTCCTTCAGTTTTATCATTTTCACTTAAATTCCTGCATGCGTTGTTTTCAACCATTTTTGCCCGTTGGAGTGAAAAATGAGCTGCAACTAGACCACGAGTTGCAGTTGAATTTTGGGTTTTGCAGCTAATTGTCCAGGTGTTTCACTATCGCCAGACTCTTGTCGGTTTCTCTGCAGTGCTTGCTGCTCTGCGGGCTGCCAGAGTTCATGTTTCAAACAGAGCTGGCTTTTCTTACCTGATATTTCCCTGAGCGACCGGGACAAAGAGCTGACACTCTGCAGCGGGCCTGCGGGGCCCGTCCTCTCTGTATTTGTGTGCGCCAGCAACAGCGTCTCACGCTTTGCGCTCGCTCCTTTCTGTGCACGAGTCGACGTTTGAGCACGCCGGGAGAGAAAAACGTGGAGAGAGCCAAGTTTTTAAGCTTTTGACACAGAGCCAGGAGGAACGACTTAAAATCTCTGCATGCAGTTGAATCACATTTGCCATCTAACTGCGTCCCTGTGGTAACTAGATTATGGTGTACAGACACAAACCTCTGAACTGAAATAAACAAGCGGACATGGAAAAGCATTTCGATTCCACGCTTGCGGATTACAGGAAGATCCGTATCGACAATAAGCTTCGCATCTGGTTTTGTTTGCCACCTCAGAATGTGCAAACCGTTCACCCTTGTCAGGGTTGAAGTGGGTAATTGGAGCAATTACATAACCAAAGATGAAAGAGTTGAGGCTGTTTCCCTTCTCAAAAGGGGAAACCAATGCCCTGATGCAACACTCTCTGTTGCTTGCATCTAATGTCCCTGATCAGTAGCACTTTTGGATGCACAGAGGATCTGCAGGTCAAATTTAAGACTTTTTAAGAGCTTTTGCAATGCACCCATTGAATGAAATCTAAGATAGAAAAAATTCCAAATGATCCTATTCTATGCAACAAAGCATCGTGCTTAGCTTAAAAGAGCGCAGCCTAGCATGGGTTGGCAACAGAAGTGAGTCAGTGGCGAACAAACGACATACAACTGCTGATAAATTTATGCTTACCTGTGATAGATGCTAAAAAGAAAGCTAACCAGCTAGTTATTAAGGGTATTTTAGCAGCTAGCTGGCGGTAGCCTCAATCGCCTCTTGTCACAGAACACAACAAACTCAAACTTTTGGACAGTCCCATTGGAAAAACTACACAGACAACATTAAATAGATCAGTTTAGTTCCTGTAATTAACATATTGAAGACTGAGTCACGTTTTTAATTTAAGACATTTTAAGACCTTAATTTGAGATAGGTAAATTTAAGCCTTTTTAAGACTTTTGGAGGATGCGCAAACAGCCTGGAGAAGATGGAAGCGGTGCTGTAAACGTTGACCAACAGGTTCACAGCAGCTGCTTCGCGGCTCGCAAATCATCTTCCTTCCAGTCTCATTAAGGGAGAAGGAAATCTCTGCTTCATTTAAGCAGCACTAATGTGAGACCAGGCATTCTTCTAGCTTGTGCACACAGAAATCTAATTTTAACTCTCCAGGTAATTACGCTACACTTTCTTTTTCTTTTTTTTTTTTAGCTATGTGGTGCAGCTTTTCACAGATATGATTCACAGTTAATCCAAACTGAAACATCTGAATAACTATTCAGCACATTTGCCTGTTTGCTGCTGGCATCAACGATCCCCCGACATTTCCTCCATCGTCACCCGAAGGAGAAAAGTTTGTTTTGGTTCATGCTGTGGAATATTAGCGACAGCGATGCTCCCGGCTCCCAGAAGAGTCGTCTTTAAGAGTTTGCAGCTTTTGTTCCCGTCGGCAAAGGTCTGACAGTGACTCCAAGCATCAAATTTAGTCTTCTCATTCATCTCTGGATTCGCCTTAGTGATTCCTTCATTTTCAACTCTCTGTTCATATTTTTCACACAAAAATAT